TTTGTGAATTAAATACATTAATTTGGCAAAATAACATAAATCCTGCTATTTGAGTGCTTTTATTACTGAGATAGATAATTAACATAATCTATAATTATAATTACATTTAAAATTTAGAAGCATCAAGGTTTATGCTAGGACTATAATTTTTATTAAGGTATCCAGTGTAGACCTCATTAAGAATATATAATTTAAGCAAAAACTGATGGAGGTAAGCTATGTAGATATGTAGGAGGAGATCACTTTGGAAAAAGGAAATAGCCATGGCCAAGTCCTCGGCTATATTTGAGGAACCCTAAGGAGTATGGGCCATAAGCATAGTGAGCCATAGAAAAGATCCATAAAGCTGAAGTCATGGGAGTACTAAAATCCCAGACACTTTTAATGGCCTTGTAGACCATTAAAAGATGTATGGTTTTTAGTATGTAGAAAATTACTGGAGAATATTTTGTGGGGAAGCAACATGATATCATTGATATTTTAAATAGATAATGCTATCAAGTCTACAAAATCTAATGTAAGGGAAACAGAAAGAGTAATTAACAACCATAGCAATAGTCCCAAGGTTATTTATGGAGATAATGCAGGAGAGTTAGTCACTGAAATGCTGAGAAATGGTCATCTTCTGGAATAAATATTTATTTTTTAAATTTTCAGATGAGTACTTAAAGTAACTCTAACAATTCTGAGAATTAAACAACAGAAACCATGTAATTCAGTTCAAATGTAAAAATTATCATAACTTACAAAAATATCAGAATATAAGATATAAATTAAAATTATCTCAGGATATGAAAGGCAAGACATTTAATTGAATGCATTGTTCAATTGTTCTTTCAAAAATTGCATTATGGGATTAGGAAAAAATTATTAATTTGATTAAGAATAGTTACATGCAGTAAAATAAAAGATATAATAATATCGTTGTAAATAGTAACATATTAAACATGTTGAGCCTTTAGTTCAGTAAGGAGACAACATATTTGTGTTCGCTATTTCTATAATTCAACAAACAGTATTCAGGGGTCCTAATTGCTGCAATATTATAAAACAGATATTAAAGCACAAATATTATGGGGGTAGAAATAAAATATTAGTTATTTGCATTGAGACTAATTTGTAAATTTATTGGAGAGGACTGGATACAAGTTCAATGCAAATATTGTAGTTTTAACATACCAAAAACAGTGATGGTACACATTCAATTTATTAACTGATTGCATTTACATAGCATCAAAACATCAAACACTGAAGAGGAGGCAGTGAAAGATAGCCGAATGAAACCTACCTGCAATTATCTTCCTTGCAGGAATACTGAATTTAGCAACTATCTATACAAGAAACAACTTTATAGGAATGAAAAACTCAGGTGAACAATCATAGTACATGCTTTTAACATCATATCAAGGAAAAAGACACTGAAAAGGAAAGAAAAAAAGGCTCTCTTGAATTGCTGATACCTCCCCTCCCCTATTCTCCAGCAGCAGCAGTGGCAGTGTCACATACAGAGAGAATCTGTGAGCTTAAAGAAGAACCTGCTGAGAGACTTTGCATTGGAACTAAGTTCTGTCCTGTAACAGCAGAGAGCAACAGAGGACAGAAATTGGCCAGTGTTCATGGATGGAGCACTTAGACAAGCCCTAGGTAGAGTGGAACTGTTCATCCTAGCAGTTAGAGCCTGAGTTCTGATAAGCCCTACCACTGGAGGTCTAAAGTGCCCTGAGGTCCTAAATTAACTAGAAATGTGGTCTAGGCCACAGAGCTGCAATTTCTGGGTAAGTCCTGTTCTGTGTGGGGCTCATATCCAGTGGATTTGGGTTACATGACCTAGTGAAACACCAGCTGGGGAGGTCAAGGGGTGCTTGCACCACCTCTCCCTAAACCCCAGACAGCACAGCTCATAGCTTGAGGAGTGACTCCTTACTTCTTCTGTAGGAGAGAAGGGGACTTTGTGCTGCAAAGAGGACCCCAATGCAGCCTGAAGAAGTTACAGAAGATGGATCTTCATCCCTCTGCAAACCTTAGAATTATGAATCTCTTATAAAAAGGAGAGGGAAAATGTCAGAGACATGTGAACCAGAGTATTTCCATCTTAAATCGGAGCTTGGTAAAATGATGCTGAATCCTACTGGGCTGTATTCCCATAGGGTTAAGGCATTGTAAGTCACAGGATGAGACAGGAGCTCAGCACAAAATACAAGTCATAAAGACCTTGACGAGAAAACAGGTTGCCATAAATGTGCTGGCCAAAACCCACCAAAATCAAAATGGTGATGAGACTGATCTCTGGTCTTCCTCACTGATACACTCCCACCAGTGCCATGACAGTTTACAAATGCCATGGCAATATCAGGAAGTTACAGAAAAGGGAAGGGATGAATATCCACCCCTTGTTTAGCATATCATCAAAAAATAACCTTAAAAATGGGCAACCAGCAGCCCTCCAGATTGCTCTGCCTATGGAGAAGCCATTGGTTTACTCTTTTAATAAACTTGTTTTTATTTTGTACGGTGGGCTTGCCCTAAATTCTTTTTTGTGCAAGATCCAAGAACCCTTTCTTGGAGTCTAGATTGGGACCCCTTTCCTCTAATGACTTTATGGCAATAAACTGCAAAACCTAGAAGTAAATGAATTCCTTGACACTTGCAACCCACCAAGATTGAACATGAAGAAATCTAAAACCTAAATATGTCACTAACAATTAATGATATCAAAACCATAATAAATATTCAATCAGGAAATGAAAGCCCAGGACTTATTTGCTTCTGTATTAGTTCATTCTTAGACGGCTATAAAACATACCTGATACTGGATAATTTATAAAGAAGAGAAGTTTAATTGACTCACAGTTCTGCAGGTTTAACAGGAAGCATTACTGAGAGGCCTTAGGAAACTTATAATTATGGCAGAAGGTGAAGGAGAAGCAAGCACTTTCTTCACATAGTGGCAGGAGAGAGACTGAGAGAGAGAAGGGGAAAATGTCATAAGTTTTCAAACCAGAACTGATGAGAACTCACTCACTATCATGAGAACAGCAAGGGGAAGTTTACCCCATGATTCAATCACCTCCCCACAGGCTCCTGCCCCAGCATGTGGGGATTAGGATTCAAGATGAGATTTGGGTGGGGAAACAGATTCAAATTATATTAGCTTCACTGCTGAATTTTACAGAACATTTAAAGAATTACATGTCCTACTCAACTATTTCAAAAAATAAAGGTGGCTAAAATACTTCCAAACTCATCCAAAGTTACATAAAAAAAGAAGAAAAACCTACAAGCAGAGATCTCTGATAAACATAGATGCAGAAATCCTCAACAAAATACCATCGAACTAAATTCAACAACACATAAAAAGCTTATTCATTAGGCATGACCAATTGGAATTTATCCCAGGGATGCAAGAATGGTTTAACTTATGCAAGTCAGTCAATGTGATACATGATATTAATAGAATGAAGTACAAAAACATATGATCATTTTAACTGATGCTGAAAAAGCATTTGATACTATTTATCATCTCTTCATGACAAAAGTTTTATAAAGCAGGATATAGAAGGTACAAACCACAACACAATAAAAACTATTTATGACAGACCTAAAACTAGTATCATATTGAACAGGTACAAACTGAAAATCTTTCCTCTAGATCTAGAACAAGACAAGAATTCACACTTTTAGCAGTTATTCAACATAGCAATAGAGATATTATTTAGAATAATAAAACAAGAGAAGGGAAGAAACAGTATTCAACTGGAAAGGAAAAATTCACATTGTTCTTGTCTGCAGTTGATATAATCTTATATTTCAAAAAACCTAGACTACACCAAAATACTGCTATAACTGATAAAGAAATTCAGTAAAGTTTCAGGATGCAAAATCAGCATACAAAAATCAGTAGCATTTCTACATGCCAACAGTGCACAATCCGAAGAAAAAAGCAAGAATGTAACCCCATTTGTAATAGCTACAAAAAATAAAATATCTAGGAATAAACATAACCAAAAAAGTGAAAGACTTCTAGAATAAAACTATGAAACATTAGTGCAAAAAAGAAAGCCCCAAGAAATTGAAAGATATTTTATGTACATGAACTGGAAGAATCAATATTTTAAAAATATTAATACTACCCCAAGCACTCTAAAGATTCCATGCAATCCCTGTCAAAATAAAAATAATACTCTTCACAGAAATGGCAAAAATAATCCTAATATTTATGTGAAACCCCACAAGACCCACAATAGCAAAAGCTATCTTGGACAAAAAGAGCAAAATATGAGGAGTCACATCATCTGACTTCAAATTATACTTTGGAGATATAGTCATCAAAACAGCATAGTAATGGCATACAGCAGACAGAGACCAAAGGAACAGAATAGAGAACACAGAAATAAATCCATACAACTACAGTGAACCCATTTTCAACAAAGATCCTGAGACCATACATTGGGGAAAGGAGGAGAATCTCTTCAATAAATGAGGCTGGGAAAATGGGATATCCATAAGCGGAAGAATGAAGTGAGACTCCATATCAATAATCATATAAGAAATTTTAAAAAGTAAAGACTTAAATCTAAGACCACAAGCTATGAAAGTATTATAAGAAAACTTTGGGGAAACTCAAAAATGTTGGTCTGGGCAAATATTTCTTCAGTAATACTCCGTAAACACAGGCAACTCAAGAGAAAATAAAAATGGACAAATGGGATCACATCAAGTTTAAAAGCCTCTGCTCAGCAAAGAAAACAATTAATAAATTGAAGAGACAAACTAGAGAATAGGAGAAAATATTTGCAAACTACTACTCTGACAAGGAATTAATAAGCAGAATATATAAGGAACTCACACAACTCAATAGGAAAAAATAAAATAATCCAATTTAAAAATAAGCAAAACATCTAAATTGATATTTTTAGGAAGAAGACATACAAAGACCAAACAGATATATGAAAAGGTGCCTAATAACATTGACCATTAGAAAAATAAAAATTAAAACCACAGTACTTACCTGGCAGCGGAGATACCATGATCACAAAGGTGGTTTTACCAGGGCAAGGCTTATCCATTGCACTCCAGATGTGCTGACCCCTGTGATTTCCCCAACTATGGGAAAATTGACTGCATAATTTGTGGTAGTGGGGGACTGTGTTCGCGCTTTCCCCTGGTCTTTAAAAAAAAAAAATGAAAACTACAATGAAATATCTTACCCCAGTTAAAATGGCTTTTATTCAAAAGACGGGCAATAACAAATACCAGTGAGGATGTGGAGTAAATTTGTTGAAATTTACACTATTTGTTGAAATGTAGATTACTATATAGCCTCTATGGAGAACACTGTGGAGGTTCCTCAGAAAACTAAAAATAGAACTTTCATAGATCTAGCAACCTCACTTCTAGGTATCTACCCAAAAGAAAGGAAATCAATCTCTGTTTTTTTTTTTTTTTGTTTGTTTTTTAGGTAAGTTTATTAACCTCGGTTTTATAAATCCTTAAATAAACATTCACACAGATATAAAGTGCCTAGCCCATCAGAGCAGAGAAGAGCTCTGTATAGCTCAGTTGTTGTACCAATAAGATATCAGGGATTCTTCAGAAGCCAGCCTTGAGACTTCTCATTATTTTGAGATCATTATTATCAATTTGGACTTAAAAAACAAGGGCCCTGTAAAACCCTTCAAGTCTTCCTCATCTCAGGTTTTAGGGATGCCACTTGGATAAAAATTAAGGGTTCACAAAGGTTACTGCCCCCAGAAGCAGGCACTGGAAATAGATAGGCAGCTCTTCTTTATCCCAAGCAGAACCTGTGTCAGCTTCCCCACTGAGGGGTTTCATTTGTCTACCTGGGCTTGGACTCCCAAAGAGGAAGAACCACCTTTACTGGAGAACCAGTCCAAAGCCTGGGGTTGGAGTTGGTGGGGCAACTCTTTACTGTGCTTGCAGCTGGGCTGAGGCAGGATCCTGGACCTCTCGGGGGCATAGCCTGTGGAATGTAGTCGATTTGTTGGCGAAGGGGTGCCACTGGCCCTGGATGCTAGGGTTGTCAGTGTGGAAGGGCTTGTGGATGTGGATCACATTCAAGCCCAACTGGTTGGCCAGCTTCTGCACCAGCGTCGAGATCTCCTCGACTGACTTGCAGCGGATGCTCTCCTCACGCACATCCTTGTTAAGGTATTCTGCCACTACTCTGGGCACACAGCACGGACGCGAGTTCACATATATTATGACCCCTGGGTTCCGTCGGGCGAAGTCGATCACCTCCCGTTCCGCAAACTCCCTGGCGCCGCGAGATGAGGGGCTGTCGCGGCTGACGCTGACGCTCAGAAAGTAGGAAAGATAGGAAAAGGGCATTTGGAAAACATTAAATCAAAGAGATGAGGTGAAGATAACAACTAAACATAAATCACATTGCTTTGGATAATGCAGTTTAGTTGTAAAATTATTAACAATATTTCTAAGATTTTCAAAATGTCATTTTAGGATGGGGAGTAGGAGTTCATATAAATATGTTATTAATGATATGGATAGGTTTTTGCTTTATAATTATTACTGGAATTACAGATACGTTTTATGTAGTCTTCTTCATGAATTGTATATCTCACAATTTAAAACATATATAAATGGATTAGTGTAGAGTGTGGATTATGGTGAATACTTAAGGTTTGCTTTATTGATACTGATGTTCCACTCTGGCTTAGAGTCTAACTCTTGTTGTCCAGAACCAAAGTCAATGGTTATAAATCAACATGGTTAGTGAACATAGGTAGTCTGAAAAATATATTAGCTGAATTCTTTTTTTTCTTTTATTGTACTTTAGGTACTGGGGTACATGTGCAGATCATGCAGGATTGTTGCATAGGTACATACATGGCAAGGTGGTCCATCCCCCTGTTACCTATAGCTAGCATTTCTCCCCGTGTTATCTCTCCACAACCTCCTCACCTTCTGCTGTCCCTCCCCTAGACCCCACCAACAGACCCCAGTATGTGATGCTCCCCTCCCTATGTCCATGTGTTCTCATTGTTCAACACCCACCTATGAGTGGGAACATGTGGTGTTTGTTCTTGTGTCAGTTGGCTGAGAATGAGGGTTTCCAGTTTAATGCATATGCCTACGAAGGATACGAACTCATCTTTTTTTATGGCTGCTATTATAATATTCCATGGTGTAAATGTGCCACATTTTCCTTGTTCAGTCTATCATCGATGGGTATTTGGGTAGGTTCCAGGTTGTTGCTATTGTAAACAGTGCTGCAGTGAACATAGGTGTGCATGTGTCTTTATAATAGAACGACTTATAGTTCTTTGGGTACATATCCAGCAGTGGGATGGCTAGGTTGAATGGAATTTTTATTTCTAGATCCTTGAGGAATCACCATACTGTCTTCCACAATGGTTGAACTAATTTACACTCCCACCAACAGTGTAAAAGTGTTCCTATTTCTCCACATCTTCTCCAGTATCTGTTGTTTTCAGATTTTTTAATAATCACCATTCTAACTGGTGTGAGATGGTATCTCAATATCGTTTCGTTTTGCATTTCTCTAATGACCAGTGATGATGAGCATTTTTTCATGTTTATTGGCCTCATATATGTCTTCTTTTGAAAACTGTCTGTGTATATCCTTCACCCATTTTCAAATGAAGTTGTCTGTTTGTTTTTTTTCCTATAAATCTGCCTTAGTTCTTTGTAAATTCTAGATATTAGCCCTTTGTCAGATGGGTAGATTGCAAAAATTTTTTCCCATTCTGTTGGTTGCTGGTTCACTCTAATGATTGTTTCTTTTGCTGTACAGAAGCTCTGGAGTTTGATTAGATCCTATTTGTCTATTTTGGCTTTTGTTGCCAATGCTTTTGGTGTTTTAGTCATGAAGTCCTTGCCTATGCCCATGTCCTGAATGGTTTTACCTAAGTTTTCTTCTAGGGTTTTTATGGCGTTAGGTCTTATGCTTAAGTTGTGAATCCATCTGAAGTTAATTTTAGTGTAAGATAACAGGAAGGGGTCCAGTATCTGCTTTCCGCACATGGCTAGCCAGTTTTCCCAACACCATTTATTAAACAGGGAGTCCTTTCCCCATTGCTTGTTTTTGTCAGACTTGTCAAAGATCAGATTGTTGTAGATATGTTGTGATGCCTCCAAGGTCTCTGTTCTGTTCCATTGGTCTACATCTCTGTTTTGGTACCATCACCATGCTGTTTTGATTACTGTAGACTTGTAGTATAGTTAGGTAGAGTGATGCCTCCAGGTTTCTTCATTTTGCTTAGGATTGTCTTGGCTATGAAGGCTCTCTTTTGGTTCCCTATGAAGTTTAAGGTGTTTTTTTTTTTTTCCAGTTCTGTGAAGAAGGTCATTGGTAGCTTCATGGGGAGAGTGTTGAGTATATAAATTACTTTGGGCAGTGTGGCCATTTTCATGATATTGAATCTTCCTAACAATGAGCATGGAATGTTTTTTTTATCTGTTTTTGTCCTCTCTTATTTCCTTGAGCAGTGGATTCTAGTTCTCCTTGAAGAGGATCTTTTGATCCTCTTTTAGTTGTATTCCTAAGTATTTTATTCTCTTTGTAACAATTGTGAATGGCAGTTTGTTCTTGATTTGGCTCACTGTTAGTCTGTTATTGGTGTATAGGAATGCTTGTGATCTCTGCATATTGATTTTGTATCCTGAGACTTTGCTGAAGTTGCTTATCAGTTTAAGGAGATTTGGGGCTGAGACAATGGGGTCTTTAAATATACAATCATGTCATCTGCAAATAGAGACAATTTGACTTCCTCCTTTCCTAATTGAATACCCTTTTTTTTTTTTCTTGCCTGATTGCTCTGGTTAGAACTTCCAATAATATAGTGAATAGGAATGGTGAGAGAGGGCATCCTTGTCTACTGCCAGATTTCAAAGGGAATGCTTCCAGTTTTTTCTCATTCAGTATGATATTGGCTGTGGGTTTGTTGTAAATAGCTTTTATTATTTTGAGCTAACTTCTTAGCATTCAATTTACAACATGCTAAATGCAATTTAAAATTAAAATTTTAAAGACAATTCTAGTTTTTTGTCACAAAATACATGTATGTGAAAATGCAGTGTAATTCACTTTCATACATAAGGATAAAAGCAAAAATGTAATATCTGGAGTATTGATTATATTTAACTCATATAGTCTTTTTGAACTTCTTTCCAAATAATTTTCAGCTTTTATGGCTAGCTATATGCCATTTGTGGCATATCAACACAGGATTTTCTTGTCTTTTAAGGAAAATAAATGTTTAGCTAGATTTTTATGTTTTTTTTTAATGTTAGATGGAAAATAACTAAAATCCAATTTTTTCTCTTGTTCACTTAGTTGTCTTTGCCACCTTACTTTATTGTGGTAAATTTTGTTAAGACATAATGATATTTTTTCATTATTATGTCTAATAGCGGATGTGAAAGAACTAAAATCTCTAATTTTTAACACCTTTTATGTCTGCTGCAGCCTTAACTATATGCAATTTATGAGCTGTAGATAAATCTTCACCCTCAGTGTGTGACATCAACAGAATCATTAATTCAGGGAAGAGAATCTGAGGTGAGAATTATGGTGGGGCTGGGCAACAGTTGGCTGCTTGAGCTGAATTTTCCAAGTTCACACCTAACTTAATTACTTCTCCTAACATCTCATTTGTATTTCCATAATGGCCCTGACTTTGAATGTTGTACTTCCTAAGATTAAAGAAAAAGTAACAGATAGAGGAAAGTGGGACCAAAGTGCTGATTGGTAGAGAAGTGTGTATATCAAGGTCATTCCTTAGGTAGTGCCTATTAAAAGCAGAAGTTATTTTTACTTCTTTTTTAGGAGAACGCATATTTTTCTGAGTTACTTGTCCTGAGGTCTAACAGGAAACTTTATCAAAGAGTGGGATTTCCTCAAATATCATGACCTGTGTATATTTCTAATTTGAAAGTTTATCATTTGGTATTTTGAAGAAGCAGTGTGCATCTTTTAATGGGAGATAAAATTAATGATCCTAATAAAAATGTCAAGACTTGGACAATAAGAAAACATCCATCTTTATTTTTTGTTGCCATAATTCTTCTTATCAGTGTTCAGCCAATAGATTTAATAATTTGGAAATAAATTACTGACATTTGAATTACATTATTAGAAATATGCTATAGCTTAAACAACAAGCC